TAAATCTGTCCTTCTGCTGAATAATCCTGCACTGTCTAGTGCCCCACAGAGCAGATGTTTCCATAATAAGTTGGGATGATGAGACAGAACCGGAGGATGGAGTGGTATCTTAGAAATCTTCATCAGGTTGCTTTCTGTATTTCTTTGAATACTAAGGCAGATGTTTTTGTCCTTCTAGTAAAGCAGAATAATGTGGAATGGGGTGGAGCAAGAGGAAGAGCTGACTCAGTGTCACCTACCATTGTGTCAGTCGTACTTCAGTGGATCTGTTTCTGTGAAGTCTATTTTTAGTACAAATCTTTGTTTAAACAACAAAAGCTTCTGAGTTGGCCCTGGCTCTAGAAAAAAACTCATTCTTCTTGATGTCATTGACACACAACTGACTGATGAAACTGAGAATCATGCTCTTTGGGATCTGTTATCCCTGGCATCTGTGTGCTTCTGAAGACTTGTTTCCTTTCTGTAAGACTGACGTTGGATTCTGTCAAAAGCCTGCTAGCTATTAATACACACACAGAGTGATACTTAAACTGAAGAAGGTGAACTGGCTTCACCTGACTTCCAGAAATTGATTTCTATCACTTCCAACTATGCTAGAAAAGTTGCTAGCTCAAACCGCAAACAAGGATAAGAGGACTTTGGGCACATCATCAGATCTTTCCCTGCCCTTCCTCACTAAGAAACTGTCTTTAAATGGTACCAGGACTGGCTGAGTTAACTCCCCATCACTCTTTGTGCAGATTGAGATTGGAATGAGAAACTCCAGTTGTATCAAAAAGTCTCTAGTGGCTCTTCTGGTTCAGCATCTGGTGTTGCCTAGTAACTGAAGAGCATTAGGCCATTAGATCATTCAGTGATCTGCAGAATGTACTGAAGATGTTCTTTGTAAACTTTATCGGTCTGATTCAGCTCTGGCCTCTTTACTCTTGCTTCAATAGTCGAAACAACTAAATCAGACAAGTTCTTAAGCAAATGGACTTGTTCTTGTGGAAATGATACTCTGCCACATTACTGTGATTCTGCAGGGGTAAACGCCAGGACTTGTTGACTAAGGATGATTCTCTGATAGCCTGGGTCTTGAATGCTGATTTCTCTCATGGCAATGAAGAAGTTAAAGGACACAATTAAGAACTCCTTATGGTGCCTACTTCTTTCTCTGTACTTAGGAAACTTTCTCACAAGAATTGGATATGAAAATATCCTTGATGCTTCTTGTAAGGCATCAACTGTGTTCTGAGAGCTATGCAGAAACCTCAATAGACATTTTCATTTCAAAGAACAGAAGACTGATCTTCATCATAGCCTCATAAGAGGATGCCCAGTGTTTATTTTCTACCTCTGTGTCTCTCTAAGCATAGACCTAATTTGTCTTAATTGACTCTTCTCCTTCAGCACTTGCAGTCCTCCTGGCTCTCAAGAAATTAGACAGTGGGATTGAATTGTTACCAGTAATGATTCTTAAGAGTCCTTGTGGTAATAAATTTCTTAATAAATCCTTAGTAGTTGCAATTACGTATCTAAATCATATGTACCTGTACGTTGATGACTGCTTGATTCAGGGAGGTCTTGCTAGGAGATACTGAAACCTGTTTGGATGATATTCCTTTCTTGTCTCAGCTGGGACACCTTGAGATATGGAGGTGCTGTCTTGCTGGACGGAATTAATTTGAGCTGCAATTAATTTCTTATTGTCAAATACTTGTTTTCCAGAGGGCATGTTTCAAGTCTTTCAGGAACATATGAAAATGTATGTGAGCACTCCTGGATTTTTACTTCTGTAAGCACACATGGTCATGATACCTTCACCTCAAGCTGCCAACAATTTTTGATGCTAGTTGAAGCCGCCGTGCTTTGCTTTGCACTTGCAGTGTTCAGAGACGATGGTGCTGGAGATGTGCTGTATTCAGTTGTTTTGCTGTAGCAGGTGTTTCCTCAAAGCTGATGGAATGTGCTTGTCATGCCTGGTTTGCTTTGCTGGTCTCTTTTGCACACTGCCAGTCAGCTCCTACCCATGCTGCTTAAGATCAGCTTTTAGCCTGTGCTACAGAAGAAAAATGTGGGTTTGAGTTGTTAGCAGCAGTAGGTAGCATACCTTCACCTACAACTTGGCTGGCTGTGCATGCACACAGGAGGAGATTTCTTGCGTGGACCCTGCTGGAATGGGGAAGAGGTGCTCCACCACTGACAAGCTGACACACATTCCACATGCTCCTGCTGATTGACTCGCGTTCTTCCCCAGCTGCCTGAAAACTAAGCCCAGTATCTTTGCTGCCAAAATTTTTCTCTTTTTAAGGCTGTATGAAAGATTTAAAATTAATTTTCCTACCATTTTTTAAAACCTCTATCTCATGCAGATCTTTTAAATCAGCAAACCAGAATGAGAAGATTTACTGCCTTGGTAGGTTAACTGCATTTTTTGGTGTAGTTGCTCTGTATTTTTGTGTGAATTTGTTTTGTTAGGCTGATCATCTGGCCACTGTTAGCTTTGCCTTGAGTGATTGAATCTAAGATGGAAAGCTATATTAGCTCTGTAAGTATAGGAATTATGTTGCTTATTTGTGTTTCATCTTGTGGTAGACCATTGTGAATGCAGAAGAAATAGCACTGGCAAAAGAGAACTTGCACTCAGAGTATTAAACAAGAGGCAATAACTGGTTTTAGATAAAGCTCACAAGCAAATGTGAGACCATGTTGATTAGCAAGAGTAAAATGCATGTTCAGTGTCCTAGTAACCTAGCTTGTGTTCTCCATGAAAGATATTTTTAAGGAGGAAATGGAACGGAATTCAATATTTCACCTGTTTACAAGATTCTTTATTGAAATCCAGTCAAACACAAGAAGGAGGGTCAAGGTTCCTGGTATGACAATCTGGCAGATGGTCTAGGGAGACTGCTAGCAGTTGCAAGTGAGCCTGTTGATACTAACCAAGATAAGGAGAACTGAAACAGATGCTGGAAGATAGGTATGATTTTTAAAATTAAATTTTTACAAAAGGAAATAGGAGGGGAGCCAAAGATATAACTAAGGAATCAAAGACCTGCAGTAAATCCAGCTCTTTCATTGTTCTTCTCTGTGGTCTTTTGTCATGGTAATTTATCTTACTTAGCTTACCTCTGACAAAAGAACAAGTTCAGGGATACAAAAGATCTTTGTAAGTACTAATTATTTTGTTAGAACTTAATACAAATCAAGGTAATTAGATTGAATTAACCTTTTGCCAGGAAGATATGTACAACCCAACTGTGGCATCTGGCTCTCTGACCTGCTGTGGAGCTCATTCAGACAGAACACAGTCTACCTTGTGAACTTGCTTGTGCTTATAGAGGGAAGTGAAAAACCTCAAACCCATTCTTTCATTGTTCAAAGTTTTACTTTACCTTGACAACTTCACTATATATGTATCTATTACTGTGGTGAAATTTAAAATTAGATTTTATTTTTCTGCCAGCTCTTTAGGCAGAGTGGGTACATACTAAAAGAAGAAACTTGGTATGTCTATTAGAGGAAGTTTTTCTCTCTTGCAATCAATGAGCGATTTGTTAGGAACTTCTCTTAGAAGTAATGCAGTATTTTAACAGTATTACTTATTATGCAGAAGGGTTCAGATAATCTTTTGGCTTTTATTTCATGTGAAATTCCATTTTGATTATTGAAGTATGAGAATGAATGTAAGTTGTTGGTTTGGTTCTTTTTCTTCAAAAAAGCTCTATTAGCTTCAGACTGATAATTGATTTTTTTCATGGACTGCTGTGAAGATCCTGAAGATGATTTTTATATATACTGTAATTTTTTCAATGCTTTTCCCTTCTAGAGGTTTTGTTATGATCCATGAGTATTGTAGGTTTGTTTTCTTTTTCCTGCAATTCACACAAACACACACAGAGAGGGAAAAAACACTTTTCTTAGAACTTGTCTCTAATGACATTAAAAACAGTAACTGCATAATGATGGTGTATTAGTGGCTTGATGCCTGTTGCTGTGAAGTTGTTGGACTAATACACACACTTTTTCTTTGTGGCCCTTTATAGAGGGCTTGAAAATGATTTCACAGACATATGGCTGTGTTAGTTGTGGAAGTTCAGTGGCCTGTAATAGTCTGTTGCTTGATGTTCCCTTGCTGGTGCAACTTGTGTGGTCACCTTCCATTAAGATAATGAGGTGCTGCTAAAGCAGGGTGGGTACTTATGGCCTCTGGTTTGCAATCATTTCATAGCTTTCTGGGTAAAGAGGAATATGTGCCTTATACCAAAGCATTCTTGAGCTCTGCCTCAGGGTTTTTTTAAAAAGTTCTTGGGTATAGACTCCTTTGCCACATCCTAGAAACTTCAGCAGCTTAACTAAAAAAATAGTTTCATAATGATGGGGAAGGGGATCAATAACATACTGGTGTATATGTAGTCTTGAATTGGGCATGTTACTACTGATCATCAACCTTTTTTTGTTTAATTGTGACTTTTAAAAAAAACAAAAAAACCCAAAAAAAACAATGAACCAAAACTCTGTGTACATAGAGCTTCCATTCTAAACACGTTCACATGAAGGTTGTATCCAGCCTGTGTGTGTATCTGGATTTAAAAAAAAAAGTCCTCTAAGCAGTTAAAGAATACGATGCTATTACTGGCTTGCTGAGAGAGGATTAATTAGGAAATGTCTTCCCTTATCTGGATTTCTAGAAGTTACAGTGGTTCACGTCCTCTAGCAGAGAATTATTATACAGCATGTCAGTAGGCACTATATTAAATAATTATGTTATTATCTATTTGTTCTCTGGGGCTTGGTATTTTTGGTTAAATTTGAAGTTATTTTCTAGGTAGCTGTTCACTTGTCAGGTGAAAGGATCAGCCTGAAATAACTTGTACAATGAAGTGTGGTATGTTTGAATAACGAAAAGTCAGGGAGAATTTTGCAATTTGGGAGATCCCCAGGAGGATCTTTTTTGCATAAATACTAGCTTTACTCTGCATACCTTTTATTTTCCTCCCCCCTTCCCTCTTCTCCAGTCCTGATACTCGAAAAGGTGGAAAATGGAGATCTGAGCAACAAGATATTGAAGATCACGGATTTCGGCTTGGCCAGGGAGTGGCATAAAACTACCAAAATGAGCGCGGCGGGGACGTATGCCTGGATGGCTCCCGAGGTCATCCGCTCCTCCATGTTCTCCAAGGGCAGCGATGTGTGGAGGTATCCATCTGGCCTTAGGCCACCCGACACCACAGAGTAACTGCCTGCCAGCAAGCCTTTCTTATGCTTTAGAATCAGTAATGATGGATGAAATATTAAAGTTTGGGTCTTAAGAAAACATTATCCACCCGCTTTCCGTTTATCAGAATCTCAAACTACTTCGTATTAATTGTAAACTTTTTTTTACTGTAGAAAGTGATGGACCAGCTCCTGCATGCCTCTAAGTTTTTGTGTGTCTCTAAATTTGCATTCAGATTGTCCTAGGATTCATTTTTCCTTCTGCTTTATCTAAAGCAAACTTTGTGCTTATTTGGCTATTGGCTGACATAATCAAAGGCCATAAAACCATCTATGAGGTACTTAAAATTACTACTCTTTTACTGTTTTATCAAGAGTAAGACCATCTTATGTTTTGGTAGTAATCTGTCACTAATGTATGTGTTCACACTGTATCTAATCAAATTCCCTGTGCAGTGTCAGCCTGAATACAATAGTTTTCACTTTCCTAATAATGTTATAAATTGTTTTTACCCTTGTAGTCTTTCACATAAAGTAAAAAATCTTGGTCCATCTGCAGATAACATCCATAAATAACAATCTGCATGGATATATTGTCTCTTCTGTTCACGTTCTGGGTTTTTTGAGAATGGGAGCTACTTTGGGAGGGAGGAGTTGAAGGGTTGACCCATAGACTTCCAGAAATCGAGTTTGATGTGACCATTAAATGAACTGGTAAATCCAGAATTCAGTAAATAGCTCTAGGACAGTGACTCTTCTGGATGCTGAGTGACACAGAAATAGTACTGGACATCTGAAGCCGATGAAGCAGATGGAATCTTGTTTTTCCTGTGAGGAGAGAGGTACTGATATGTCAGCATTTAGAGCAGTAAGATGCTGTTGCTGGCCAGTAATGCTCCCACACAAGCGTGTGCATGCTGTGAAGTCTGTCAGGATAAAGAAATAGCCCAGCTGGCAGAATTGTCTGGCTGTTACAGCAGAGATTTGGTGTGGGGATTTTAATTTTCCTTATCCAGTTTTGCTGAATAGATAATGTGTTGCCTTGTGAGAAGTCTGTGAGCTTGTGTTATGCACACTAATGGCATGGATAAAATTCTGACTCTGTAATTAAATGTGGTAGCCTCTGTAGATAATCTGAGACAAACTGAGCCAAGAACCAGGCTTTTATTCTGGGTGAAGTCTGGCAGAAGTGAAAACCTCTAGACTGTGCACTTCCTCTGTGCACGTGATGACAGTACTGCTTTGTACACAGCTTGTCAAATTCAAACCTCAGTTTGCTCTTCTCTGAAACAGGGCCAGGAGTGGCCTTTAAGGGTAATCTGGGGGGAGGAAGAAGGGAAGGGGGGAAATTCTCTGTGATTGTAACTTTACTAATCTGGGCATGCAGTGAACAGATCAGTAGATATTCTGTACCAGTATGACCTCATTTCAAAAAAGAGATGGTTTAGTAGATCAGTTATTGATTTCCATGAAGGTGGCTCAAGTGCCTCTGCACCTGTGCAAAAATACCAGCTTGGTCATTGACTTAAGGACTGTGAATCTTTTCAGGACTGAAGGTTTGCAAATGACTTAAATTATTCGTTAGTTTTTCAGAATACTGTATTTCTATTCCTTCATCACTTTCTCTTTTTATAGTCACCAGTCTTCCCTTGAAAATAGGTTGAGTTCATCTCAGTGCTCTTCCTTAAACAGAGGGTCATCACCATTAAGAAATCTGTTGCACTGTCTATGAATAAAAGCCTTCTCTCTCTGGTGGCCAAAACCTTGAGTCATAGGTAAATAAGCTGAAAAGAGCATGGGGTTTGAAGCACGTATGCAGAAGATGAGTACTTGCCAGTGTGGTCATTCCTAGTGTGTCAGTGACTGTAAGCACTGGACTTTACAAAAGCCATCATGGACATGTGTAATAAATCCTGTCTCCACCCAAGAATGCAACTTGAAATTCTTAACAAGATGAACTTTTTTATCCTATTAGACTTGCCCCTCCTCTTGTCCACTTCAACCTCGTGGTTAATTACTGGCGTCAAGGGAGATTTCTGCCTGACAACCTTCCAGCTAGTCTGTGTGGCATCAACAAAACTGGCTGTCTCTATCTCTGTCTCTAACATTCACAAACCTTTTATTTCAAAAGGGTTTTATTCCACCTTTTCTTTAAAGCTTATTAGAATAATACTGCTGGCTGGATTGTTCCCCAGCCTGTTGACAAGAGTTGTGTTCTTCTTGTGTTCTCACTGCTCAAATGGGTGAAGAGGATGCTGAAGAAGTTGCTTGCCAGGCCTGAAATTTCCTGAGTCGATCTTATCTCATCATAAATAACTACTTCATGCAGTTCCTCTACAAATGTGTATCAAGCTCCATTTAAAGAAATTAATCTGATTTTTTTTTTGGTCCCACTGTAAAGGAGGGTTGGCAGAGAAAAGGCTGAGGAATGCTCCCACACTGTGGAATCTATCACCAGGGTCTGGGCCACTGTAAAGCTTGTTGATAATAGCAGTACTTAGTACATCTTGCTAGAGAAAATGTGTTGCTGTGAATATTACTGTGCTGCACTTGGAGCTTTAGATATACAGTAGGAACCTTGTGCTATTATTGCACAGAGGACAAAGAAGCTAGGGTTTTATTGAAATATGTCAGTTCCTGTAAATCTGTTTGCTTGAGAGTACTTTGCTTTGGATTTACAGGAGTGAAGTTGAAGCACAGATATTACAGCTTTTCCAGCACTGTACAGCAAGCTAATGTAGGCATATAATTCAAATTTCACTGTCATTTTAACTGCCTAAATGTATTTCTTGTTTGCTGCACACTTCATTTTTGACTTGTGCTGCTTCAAAGACAATCATGGTATCAATATGATGGGTAAGCAGAGTGCAAAGCTATTGTACAACCTTCAGCTCTGTGTTCCTTAAGTTAGGTGCTTTTAATATGTATCTACCAGTGAAATAATTAGGAATTCGGTTTTCATTTAGGAATGGAATAACAGAACTACCTAAAACCATCTGATTAGCAGATCAGAATGTTTCAGGCATTCAATGGTGAGTGTAGGAACTTCAGTCATTAGAATATTTTATTTGCATCAAGTGTTGGCAAGCACTTCCATCCACAACTGACTGCTTGCAGGCTTCTGTAGTCTTCTGTGCCTAATGAAGCACTGGCAAGATTTCAGTACCTGGCAGATAAGTTTTGACTAGCAATATTGGTAGAAGTTCACGTGGGAGAAGTGTACACAACTGGCTGTTGTGAAGTAAGCAGGGAATGTTGTCTCTGGAACTGCCAGTCTGATAACATGCCAACTGTTAATAGCCATTAAAATGTAATGAAGCTTTTTTTTTCCTCAACAAAAGTAATATTCTAGTTTCTGTTGTTGCTGAGTTCTCCTTGTTGGGCTGCTAGTTCCTTTCTCATGGAAAATGCTGAACCTAGGGACACAAATAAGAGTAGCCTATGGTAGAAATGCCATTGAACAATAACAGTGAGAAGTTTTTTTTTCAAAGTTCACAGACTTGGGGAGGTGATTTTTGCCACCAAGGGAGGTGGCCAAATCACATGTGAAGTCCTGCAGACATGCAGCCTTCCTCTCCCTGAAAGTGCAGTGTGTAAGATGGAACCTGATGTTAAATGGCTTAAGGGATTAATGGATCATTGGGAGATGGTTAATTATTCATACAAGTGTCAGTTGACTTGGACACATGGTCTGTATCACATGGTTCATTTTGTAATTAAAGTCCAAAATAACTACTGAATGCTGGGGAAAAAAAAAGTGAGCGTGCTGAGTTTTTCTTCCTGTTGAGAATGAGGAGAGGTCCTCAATTCTTTCTTCCCATGCCTTTTTTTCTATAAATCACTTCTGTCTCTGGCTTTTTCCTTTGTAATTTCCAACTCCCCGCTTGCAGGTTAATGGAAAACACTCTGTTCAGCATCTCTCTTGCTGCTGTTCACTTGGGATGATTGTTCAAATGCCACCAAGCAGTGTTTCCCTAGCTCTGTGGAAGCAGTATTCTCAAAAACGAGCTGTTGAGTACTTGAGGAAGAGGTGGCATTCAGTTTTCTCAAAAGCAGTGACCTTTCCTGCAATACTCCTAGTGTCAACTTAGAACAGACACCAATCTGTCTATTCCTTTGTCTTTTTAAAATTACCATGCAGAAGAAATGCTTTGAGTACATCAACAGTGCTTTCCTAACCATTTCATTAAGAGAAATACCTAATACATGCTTTATCCAACACTAGTGGTTAAGTAATAACACAACTCTTTGGTATTTTTTCCTACCTTTTGATATCAACACCTGCATCCAAACTGAAGAGTAACATGAAGGATCAATCAGCTTTAGGCAGGACAAATATATATTCAGTCCAGTATTCATTTTTCTTTGAGTGTCTTATAAATTCTGGGAGGCAAAAAAGAATATGGGAACTCCTTAAACACCAGTATATATATTTTTTTAATGAGGTTCTTGAGACAGTAAAAGATTGAGAATCTCGGTGGAAAGAAATAATCAATTCTAATTATAATATCAAGACTATGACTTAGGAAAAATGCAGAAGATTGTATAGGTGAAAAAATAGGACATTTTGTTTAATACAGTAAACTAGCTGTTAGCAGCAAAGGTGGACTCTAGTGACTGAAATTCCTTATTTAAATAGGAAAAGTTGCATTAAGACTGTCCAACTAAGTTTACAGCAGTTGCAATGAATGTTGAAGTCTGGGGGTGGAGACAAGATGGCAAGATTACAGTTTGTGCTAATGAAAATTCTGGTTACTCCTAAATGGGTAGGGAAATGGTTACTTTGATTAGTCTTAGCTTCAGAAACTACTGTTTCATGGAGCAGCTGTTCAGGGAACTTTTAGGAAGAGCAGCAGTTTTTCATTTGGTCTTCAAGTGTGCTTAGGAGGCCTTCAAAACTGTACAATATGACCACGGTCAAAATATAAGTATACTTGGATTCAATATCTTTGCCAGACCAACTAAGAAAAATTAATCCATTACACTAGTGTTTAATCTCAAAGAGATTAATGATGACATTGAGGAATTTTGTGTAAAAACAACAAAAGGGGAAGGCGCAACATGGACGCCTTTTAAAGACACTGTTAAAGCTCAGAGTGAGTGCGTAGGAAAGACTGGAATGAAGAAGACAACGTAGAAGAGACTGCTGGAAGACATCTTTCAAAAAGTTGAATCTGTATCCAAATGAAAAAGATTAGGCATGGGCTTAGGTGCTGTCAAGTTGCATAAAACACTCAAGAAAATGAAAATGTTTTTGAGGAGAGTGTTGCAAAAAGCTTAAAACCCAAATACATTGCTCTCAAATCCAGCATGGGTGATAACCCTGCAGAACATATGGCCCAGAAACAACCAAGATGTAAGAGTGCAAAGGAGACAAGGGTGTAGCAGAAAATACTTAGTAGGTGACTTGTCTGCTAGAATGGAGCAGAGAGGCTTTTTGAGCTGAAAATTTCTCTTTAAGGGAGCCGAGCTGGAGAACATCTCATAGTTCAGTGCTGTCCAGGGAGGTGTTAAATCTGCCAGATAAAGTGAGCAGTAACAAATTGCTGGGATTTACAGTAACACCCAAGATTTCTAAAGGGGCATGAGAGAGACAGCTGAGTTAATAGCTGTGCTGGGTAATATCTGTTGCTTAGAGCTGCCTTAATACCAGAGAAATGGAAAACAGCAAACATGATGACAGGTCTTTAAAGAGCTTCCTGATGAGGTTTAGCAAATCTGATTTTTGGTTCTACTAAATAGCAGAAACAGTGCTAAAGAGTGAGGAGTTGGTAGGCATGTGAACATATCTGGGGAGGAGTCAGCTTTTGTAGAAGGAAATTGTATCTGGTGAAAAAATGAAAGTTCTTGAAGGAGTTACCAAGTATGTGGACAAGTGGTAAGATTGCTTATATCATGTTTGGATTTTAAAAAAAACTTGCAACAAAATCTTTTTTCAAAAGCTTTTAAAGTAAGTAAATTGATATTGGGGAAAAAAGGGAAAGTGTTTCTCATCACTTAGTTCTTAGTTACTAGAGGAATAATTTGTTTTTCTTGCTAGGGAATTCTGTATCCAACATAATCATAAGTGATTGGAAAAAAACAGTGACTGGTTAAGTAGCATTTGTTGATAATAAGTTATTTAGAATAACAAAGAATTAATCTACTGCAGAGAGCTGAGGAAAAGTCTTACTAGACTGAATGATTCAGTAAATTTGAGTTACTGTGGGTAACCTAACTCCTTTTGTAAGGAGTCAGAAAGGCAAGTGGCAAGTTGAAATTTAATAGGAAGGAAAGAAAGAAGGAAGAAACCAGGAAATACTATGCCTCTCTTTTAAAAAAATAATTTTTATGTGATTTAGGTCAGTCCAACATAAAAGTTTTAAATGGGACGAGATGGTAGAGAAGATATCAAGGGCAATGAAAGATGTAAAATGGCTTCTGTTCAGGAGGGTAAATAGATTAGGGTTTACCTAGATTAGGATTTTGGGGGCTGGTAAAGAAGATGGTTTAAGCAAGAAGTGGTGGGAGCCTGTGAAATCATGGATGGCATGGAAGGAGTTAATAGGGATTATATATTCACTCTTCCTTGTCTGGAAAGAATTACAGGGAAATAAATTAAATCAGCAAGTGACAAGCTCAAAACAAACACATTGTCTTTTTTTGGCAATGCATCTTTAAATTTGAGGGACTCACTACTAAAGAACATGGTGGACAAGAAATGGGTTCAGAAGAGAATAAAACAGATCAATGGAAGAAAGAAATCATCAGGTCACTAAGTATGAAGAAACTGTCTCTGGCTCAGGTTTCCTAGAAGCAGAGAGAATATTCTGAGGGTGTGTTTGTCATATACCTTGGGGGAAAAGCAGTCCTGGAACTATGTCCATAACTTCATAGTATCTCATACAACATCTTAAGAACAATTTAATTATGAGGAAGTATTTTTCACTTGTTTTTAAAAATTACAACCCTTTAAACAACCCTCCTTTTCAGAGTTTCACTGGGTTCTGATTTAAAATTTGATAAATTCGTTCGATTTGTATTAAAGTTTTTCAGATTGTTCCCATTTTCCAGAGAGAAAATAATCTTTGCCTAAATGGTGGAAATGACTTCTAATTTCAGTCTTACCAAAAAAAAAAAAAGCAGGTTAAAAAGGCACTTCCCCAACTTAGCAGCCATGATGAGCTTGTCCAGGAAACTTCAGTTTCTTCAGTGTGCCAGGCTCACCCTGATAGCTTCAGGTACTTTCTTGTTGGTTAAGAAAGAACGTGTTACAGTCAAACAGCCATTCTCCTTTTTGTTTTCTTCCTGGTAGTTACGGCGTGCTGCTCTGGGAGCTGCTGACAGGAGAGGTACCCTTCCGGGGCATCGATGGCCTTGCGGTAGCATACGGCGTTGCCATGAATAAACTCGCCCTTCCAATCCCCTCCACGTGTCCTGAGCCTTTTGCCAAACTCATGGAAGGTAAGCCAGCCGTGTTGTGAGCGTGGTGTGTGCTGTTTCTGGAGGGCTGTTGAACATTGCCTCCTTGTGTTGGGGTTGATACCTGAGAGCACAGATTTCTCAAATGGCTTAATTCAACGGTGCAAGTTCTTAGGGGAGCTAGGCCGGACTCTTGGTGAGCTGTGACAGTTACAAGAGTCATATGTGAAAGAAATTTCCCTGCCATTTTTTATCAGCTGGCTTTATAGGGAAATGAGGGCTCTTCGTGTCATCATCAACTTTGTTGGTGGTTTTTTTTTTGTTGTTGTAAAGACTTGCCAACACCAAAACTTCACATGTTTTTAGTCCGGTCTGAAGTCTTTAACTTGTTTTGAAATTTGTATCCTGAACATCTTGCTAGGCAGTGTCAGATTGATTCGGCATTAGTCCGGTCTGAAGTCTTTAACTTGTCTTGAAATTTGTATCCTGAACATCTTGTCAGATTGATTCGGCGTGAAACTTTATTCTACTGACATTTCAAGATG